AACACATATCAATTTGGAATTTAATCTCCTTTGAAGTAGTCACCTTCTGAAGCCATACAATTTATCCAGTGTCATTTCCATCAATGGAAGCATTCCTGGAACTCCTTTGTTGCATTCTCTTAGATTTCTTTGACATCTTGAAATCTAGTTCAAGTAGGATTTGATTTTGCAAGAGGCAAATGGGAATATGGTGGTTGTTGAACCTGAAAGATGTTGTGCTTAGCTAAAAACTGCTGCACAAGCCAATGACACTGATGGAATCTCTGTGATGTGGTGAAAACTTTCATCAAGTGAATAATAACTTTTTTTCTCACAGATTTCCATGGAGCTATAGAGTTTTATGAAAACAAAGTTGACCATTTTTAAACTTTTCCGAACTGTCTTTTGAAGAACCACACTAAACCTTATGCAAATTAATTAACAACAGATTATTTTATATTCAATACATATTTTGAATACCATTAGAAATGAAGAAGTTCTAAAGAAACTGGCAACTACAAAAACATTCATACTTAAGATCGGAAAGAGAAAATTGAAATTTCTGGAACATTTTATGTGTTTCATTACAATTTGCAATTGCAACTGACTGTTTTTTTTATGGATCTGTGTCATTTAAAGCTGAAACATATTCAAGAATTTTTTTCATGAGTGAATACTGCATTAACAATTTTTGAGAATAACTAATTTTTCCAGATATTCTACTATTTGACCCATATTTAGGGTGTGTCACTGAGGCTGCAAAGTGGTTAAACATTAATTCTAAGCAGAAAAAGGGTTAAGCCCAAAATGAAATGTAAACTAGAAGACAGAGAGAATGGAAAACATTTCCCTGGTAATGTGGAAGTGAAGAAAGGGCCATCTGAGTTAACCTAGCCCTACAAATTGGAACGATGCATTGGTTTCCTTTTTATCTGTCAAAAATCTGGCATGCGGGTAAAGCAAATTAGGAAATAGCTTTATCTCTTTCTTGGGAAATAAGAAAAACAATCATTGGTGAAAAGAGAAGCAGATGGGAATTATATTTTCATTAGCAAAAACAAATTGGGAAATGAAAACAGTGAATGAATCCTCTGCGAGGGTTAGGATTATGAAAATTGATCCGTCATAAAAGGCAGGTGATCTGGTTTGTTTTCACTATGATGGTGACCAGTCCAAGGATGGAAAACAGTATGTCTCTTTAAGAATTTAGATAAACAAATATATTTTCATTGACAAAAACAAATTGGGAAACAATTTTTATCATTCAGAGGGGTAAAATCAGAAGTCTTTTGTGGTTTGGTTTGTGTTATTGCTGGACATGTTGGTCAAGGAAAGGAGTCAGAGAATTTAAATTAAGGAGGAGAATCAAATATGCCCTTTCTTTAAGCACTTTAAAAATTAGATTTGCCACAAAGTTAGTTATGCCAGCCCTGAGAAGTAGGCTGAGTTAGGATACTGAGAAGAAAGGAGAAAGAGATAGAATTTAGCCCCACCTGTGTGGAGTAGTGGTGCAAGATGTAAAGTGAAGCAGGTTGGAGTTAAGGGAGTAGCAATCCCTGTGACTACTCTCAAGAAAGGTGGTCAATTCTCTAAATTTGGAAAGTTAAGAAAGCAGAAATAGGGAACAAAGAAAACCTTTATTGGGATTAATGAAGATTGGGGAATCAGTGCCAGTTTTGGGTTAAATTGTATATATTGGGGAGTTCAGAGACTTGGGCTGAGAAGCCACATCTAGTGCCCCTGGAATCCATGTCAGCTGCCACCAGAATTCCTAATTCCAAGACTTTGAATCCAGCCCTCTTTAGACAAGGCTCAGTTTCACTATAGAAACTGATGCGGGAATTGTTAATTTTTGTTGCACCAAGAGCTATATATACTAATTGAAGATTAACTGCATGAATTTCTTTATTTTTTGTTGTGAAGATATTTTTTCCTGAATATAACCACTGCCATGGCTTGACCTAGTGCTGTGAGACTATGACCTTCAATTTTCCACTGCTCTGAGATCAAGCATGGGTAGAGTTGGTGTTGATCAAAGTGGCCAGCGACCAACAACTAGCTTTGACCAGCATCAGAGTTAGCTTCATTGTTAAAATGTCATCCTGAGACTCTGAGGACCAGACCAGACCACTAAATGTGGTTACACCATTAGGTGTAGGCAGTGCTGAAAGGCATTATATTGGTGATTGTGAACAAGGATGTGATGCTATTGGAAGATGGTGTTATATCAGAAGGAGGTAGATTCATACCTTTCCCAATAGTATTTGCATGTAAGTGAATGTAATGATCCCAACTGGAATTTGAACTTGGCTCTACAATTTCTCATTCTGAGCTGCTATCCATTACACTAACCACACATCCTGAAGAAGTTCAAAAGAAAATGGGATCCATAAAGACTCTCAGACTAAAAATTAGAAAGAGAAAATTAAAATTTCTGTGGCACATTATGAGGAAGGATAGCCTGGAAAGCTTAATACTCTCAGGGTGTGTACTGAAAGAAGTCGCTATAGAGCAACTTACCTAAATAGTCTGGGTGAACAGCAGAGCAGGGATGGTAAAAAAATCAAACATTGCTTTTGAAGATTAGTTGGTTGTTTTTGTTTAGTGATATATCAACACCTCTATGGGTTATTTAATGCTGTAACCTAAATATTTGTACACAATTTTTTGTTTTGAGATAATAATGGTTTTTGTCATATGAATTTTACTGATTAACCCATAGCTGGAGGGAGAAGAGGTGGATTCATACCTTTCTCAAAGGTATTTGCGTATAAGTGAATATAATGAACACAATTGAATTCAGCTCTCCGATTAATAATTATGAGTGATTTTCCATTGCATCATCCACACATCTAAGCTTATAGCACCTGATATTCGCAAGTAGTTGCCCATGTTTATATTTAAAATTTGAATTTATGAAAGACAAACATCTTGCTTGCGTTTAGCTGAGTGAATCTTACATGATGGGCATAAAATATAATGCCATGTGGATATGTATTAATGATATATACAATAAATCTGGCACAAGGCCTAAAATAGGAAAAAATCAACTGATATTCTCTGTACTATTTTTTTAATCTGGTGACATTGGGGATAAAAGTGCTTTCTGAAAGATTTCCTCTGATAAACAGACATAAAAGAAAGCCCAACAGTGTGGTCAGGAGACCAGTATTGAAATAATCGTATTTTCAAAATGACCAATATATACAAAAAGTTACTATGAATAAACCTCATAATATTAAATCCTATTGGATTATGTCTGAAAATGCCAATTATCTTGTAAAAAGTTATTAGGGACTTAGAGTTTTTTTTTCATGGTTTTAATTTTTACTGATACCAATTTTTTATTTCTTTTCTAATAATGTAATTTATGTACAGGGTAGTCCGAAATCTTGTCACCTCTATAATTTTCTATTTCAGATGGCTGACATGAGCTCGTACAAACCTTCTTGATATATGACAGCATCAATGAAAATAAATGAACTAAGTCCTATACATGTGCTTTGTATTACTTGTTATTGTATTCACATTAATTTTGGTAGGGGTGACAAGACTTTCGGACCACCCTGTATTGTCTGGTTGAAATCAGTCCAGGCGTTTTTGAGAAAAAGCTTTGATGCTCATGCACAGTTGTGGATGTGCTGGTGGTGTAATAGATTGTAGCTGGGAATGAGAAACTGGAGAGCTGAGTTCAAATTCCAGTCTAATTTGTTACATTCACTTACGCACAAATATCCTTAGGAAAGGTATGACGTCATCTCTTTTTGCTCCAGATATGTGTTAAATAGCAGGACGAGATTGTATAGCTTTGGTTGGCAACCAGTCTAGTGATGGTGACTCTATAAAATCACCCATCTTCCAACATGCCTGGCCCAATCGTGGAGATGCATCTGGTTATGAAAACTCACTCTGACTCGTGTGAGTTGTGCATTCTGCCACAGGTACAGAAAGTGTTTACTTTTTGTTTTTTTAAACTACACAGTTGATCCTTAAAAAATAATAAAATATCAATTTTGCTAAGTCAGCTTTTCTTTTGAATCAAATATTTTAGAAAAGCTGATTTAAATTCAATTAATGTTCAGAGCACTATCTCTTTTTCTGCACCAGTGAATATTTTGACAGATTTATTCTCCAGGAAATTTTGGTTGATTTTGATTTCAAACATCCAGTTTTTGTAGATATTTACTAAGCTTGACTTAGTGCAGCACAAGGTCATAATAATGGAGCACTAATCAGGAATGAACTTATGACTCTGAAAATGTTTTCTCAGATTAATTTTGGTGCCATTGCTCTTGGGTAGTCACTCAAGATTGATTTGTTTTTTACAGCTTATCAACCCTTGGCAGGTTATTTAAAGCCAAAAAATATTTTAAGATTGTCGGAATTTTTTTGAGATAATAATGATTTACTGATACAAGTTCGACTAATTAACATATAGCTGGGGGAGAAGAGGTGGATTCATGCCTTTCCCAAGGATATTTGTACATAAATGAATATAATGAACCTGATCAGAATTGACACAGAGCGCTCCAATTTTTAATTCTGCATCATTTATCCATTACACTACCAACACATAGAAGTTTAGCCCCCTCATGCTGGGAGTCTCTTGGTCACTGCGCTAATTAATGCAATATTGTATCTTCTCTTATCTTCTCCTGGCTGGTGATCACTAGTTGGTTTTGGTTTCAGAGATGAAAGATCAATAAAGATAATTTTAATCTTAGCTATTTTATTAAATTATGTCAACGTGTATATTTCTACCTATCCAGTGGGGTTGCTCTCTCTCTCCACTGGGGAATGGATCCAGAGATGAAAGGAAACCACATCTACATTGCTTGATGTTTAAGACTCAACTCCCCGAAAAACCTTTCTCTATCGATCATTCCCACATTAGTTCGGCCAATCAAAATTGACTTCCTTTGTTTTGTCTTATATCTGACCTCAAAGGTCAAACTGAGGAATTCAGAGCAGGAATATACTTCTCTAAGAAATAATAGTCTGCTAAACTATTATTTAACAATAGCACCTGATATTCCCAAATGGTCACCCATCTAGGTACTGATCAGGCTTGACATTGCTTAACTTTTGTGATCAAATGAGAATTGATGTTTCAACATAATATAGCTGTAAGCCTAGTCGGTCAAGAATCTTTATGTGAAAATATCTACATATATCAAACACAATGTGTGTATATATATATATATATATATATATATATATATATATATATATATATATATAAAATATTTATTGTTTTTTAAAATGACTTAAATAGGTGTGTGTTTAGTCTACATATATCGATAACAGCATCAATGGATAGAGGCAAATTTATGTTTAATGTTTTTTAGATTTTTTTTTAATAAATTAAGGAATTTATTTATGGGGATATTAGTAATATAGAGAATTATTGTTTAAACTTGTTGTAAATTTGTCATGTCTATAAGTTTGTTTCTTGTTTTTTTAAAAGTTACCAGAATTCTTTAGAGGATTTGTTCTGACCTTTTGTCTTTTGCATTTTGATTTTATGAATTTAAGCACAGTCTTACATTGGCAGCAAGGTTTCATCATTTTACAGTTTAAAAAGCTGGATTAACTGTAAGGTCTGTGTTAGGTTTCATCTCTCACACTTCTCACTTGTGGAACTCTCTTCTGGCTTCTTGCTTCCCAGTCAACGTTGATCTTCAAAATGCAATGTCAATTGTTATCTTTGTCTCCTTAATTCCTATTCTTTTATTGTCCTTTCTCCTTAATAATGTTTTTTTCATATTCTTTAACACTCAGTAACCCCATATATCTTAGTGGCTTTATTGCCTTGCTTAGTGGGAAATGATTAAAAACAAAGAAAAAACAATACTCCCTTTTTAGCCTAATCACTCTTGTAAAAATACAACATGGCAGAAAAATGTCAGAGACTTCCTGAAGTGATATATTGAACTGACCATTTTTCTATCTTCCAGTATGTAGATAAAGTGTTTAAATGCAATGTCAATTGTTATCATCTGTCGTCTTAATTTCTGTTTTTTTTATTGTTCTCTTCCTAATAATGTTTTTAGTATTATTTTTCATATTTTCTCACTCAGTAACCCCTTGCATCTTAATCGCTTTATTGCCTTGCTTGAGGTGAAATGATAACAAAAAACAAAGATGTGTTGAACTGATAGTACCAAGTAGTGGGGTTAGAATTTTTGTGATTGCTCTAACAATTTTGTGACTGACATATTCCAGAGACTAATGGTTACATTGGAATATTTATTTTGCATATCTTTGGTAGACGTTATAACATGGGTATAGTGAAATGCTATTCTATGGAGGAAGACAATATTTTGTAGTGTTTAATTAAAATTTTTTTATAGGAATTTGTAAATATTTCAATATCTTTGTTTATAGTTGTTAGTTTTTTCATAGTTATTATGATTTGTGAGTAGCATTGTCATTTCAATTTCCTTATCTCCTATACTAAATTTGTTATAACTGATCCATACACCTCGGTATTTGAACTTGATTTACTAATTCCACATTCTGAATTTTTACGATGGATTCAGGGCATGTGCCATCACGGCTTTCATTCCAATTCCAGAGCATAGTTTCTGTTTTGTAAAGGTTTATTTTGAGTCCTATTTCTTGGAACACTTGATAGAGGATGTTGAATTTTTGTTCAAGACCATTCTTTACATTGTTTGAACTGTTGTCCTCATCTTTGTTGTCATATTCACAACATTTTGGCTGTTGTATGCTTCGGCTTTCTTCAGGTGATATATGTTAGAATTTCGAACTGACCCTTTATTTAGTCCATGGGGGTAGATTGTTCTAGTTCCATGTGCCATGTCGTGCAATAGTGTAAATAGTTACAATACCTCATCTCAGAAATACAGACAGAAGATTATCCTTATCCCATGATGAATACCTGTGTCATCAGCATAGCCCCACTCATCATCAAGTATTGGGAGTGGAAGCAAGAACATGGTTTTCTATCTGTAGATTTATTTGTGATGTATGTGTTATTGTAATTTACCCATGCACGCATGGACTCTCCCAGCTATAAATATGGGCAGGTACTGCCTTTTGGAGAGGAGAGTTTCCAGCAGTCAGCTCTGACAGTCAGACCAAACATTCTTGCTGTAACTGTTAATATATTTGTTTAACTTAATTTCTTTTTTTGTGTCTTTATTTCTGGCCCTAACAAGGCCACAACAGTATGGAATGCTTAAATGATCATATTTTCATGTTTGTGTCTTTAGATGCACAAAGCCTAGTCTAGGAAGATATTAAATAGATTGGGATGCTCATAAGACGTATTAGTCTTCATCAATGATCTAAAACACTCCACTTGACATGTTTCTCTAAGTTGAAAGTCATGCAAATTTGTCAGGACACAGAAAAGGAAATATCTTTTAATAATTTTATTTCTTTTTTTTATCTCATGGCCAATTATTTAAAAAATAAAAATTATAATTGATAAAAAGAAAAAAAAAACAAACAAAAATCCCGAACAAATAATAAAACAATTGTTTCTCCCTCTAAGTTTCCCCTGAAAGACAAAAAATACTCCCCACCCTGCACTGTTCAGAATCCCCAAAAATATATTAACAAGTTTACATACACAACTTTCCTCATTTATACAATCCTTTACACACATGCACGCATTCTTGTTTTTAACTTCCACCCTTTCCAAAAAATATACAAAGTTCTCCCCAAGCTCCTGTGATGCAATTCATGGAGAAAGAGACGAGGCAAAAATCTCATTGGAGTCTTTGGGGTGAATAGGTGCCAATGTTTGCAAATTACAAAAAGAAAAAAAAAATTTTGTTGATGATCTGAAAAGACAGTAGAAGAAAGATTTAATAACTGTGTTATTATCTTCACTGTCAATTTTTTCCTCATTTTCTGTTTCAATTCTGTTCATCTTTCAGCAAAGATGAATAACCAGAAGTTAACTGACTAAAGCTTGTTTTGGAAGAGTTTCAAAGTTTATCAACAATTGTTCTTTTTTTTATGCATTTGTTATATTTTTTTTTTAGATAAGACATCCTTTTCTATTTTGCAGTGATTCTTACAAGCGAGACAGCTTTTGAGTGATTGAGACATGTGATAATGCTTCATGAGATAAAGAAATGTTTCAATTGATCCTGAAGATCCACCAGATAACAACATAAGTTGAGAATATGTAAATCATGTGGAAATTTGATATTTTCTTTTTACAAAGAATTTCTTTGTTTATCAATATATTTTTACATGTATTCATACATGCTTAATTTTCAATCACAACTTTTTCCCCCTCCAAGAAAAATATATTTGCCAATTTTATAAGCATGAAGCACCTGTCTGTTCCCCACAAACTGAGGAGAAACAACATTAATGGAGCAAAATAAATTGGTTCAAATATTTTAATTGGATGGTTTTCCTTTTGTATAATGCTGGAGAATATTTTGTTCAAAGAGAATCCTTATTTTTAATGCGGTCTCTAAAACAATATGAACCAAACAGATCAAGGGTGGGGAGATTTGTTTGGGGAATGGATCCCAAATTTCTCCTGTTTTTTTTATATAGTTATCCATAATTGTCGATTATTTTTTTTAAAACCGTGGTTCATTTATTTATTCTTTGTGGTTCTGTAATCAAAATGAATGACCACTGAATTAAGTATGGTGCTCACTTATTTTGATTAACTTTCAGCTGTTGGAGTATTCAGAATCTAGAAATGTCTTTTTTAAACAGATGTTAGGTTAAAAAATTTCTATTCAGTAGAATAAAAGCTATAATGTAATTGGTAGCAGCTTAGAGTCTCATTAGCATTCTGTTAAATGTTGATAGGTCAGCTTCTAAAGCCAAGCAATATAAACTTTTAATTTGACAAAGTCATTTCAGACTTTAAACAGAATTCAGTGATTCTGAGTTCTTCATTTTTGTCTCTAATGAGTCAGTGTTTTTTCATTCGATTAGATTGGAGTTTTTGGAACTATATTCTTTGCCCTTGATATCCAATGATGTAATTTTTTTTCAGCTATTTTAGGAAGTAGATTCTTCCAGTCATTGTTTTCTGTTTAGACTGTACAGTTGGATAACTCAGTAAAAAAAAAAAATGCTTATTCAAACAGAAAAAAAAATCTAACCATTTTTGATTATTTTACAATTTTCTTTTTAAAATTATTTTGAAAATTTGTGTTGTTATTGGTTTTTCGAAAAGAATTTCTGGCTGATTTTGCATGTGAAGAGCATTTAGTTGTACACTGCATAAAATAAAAATATGTAAATCTGTGACACTTATTTGGAGTAAATTTCTTTCAGCCAATCCACGTATCAAAAGGTTGATGCTTTTTTTTTCTTAGAAAGGACTTACAGCAAGAAGCTAAAAATATTTACAAATATTTGAGATCAAAACATGCTTTTATCTACAGCCAGCATTTGGTTGAGCTTTAACATTTAACTTCATTTTTAATAAAAAAAATATCTATAGGCATAATAATGTCTATATGCATAAGCATTTAACATAATAAAAATTGAAGATTTCTATTAAAATATATAAATTTCAGCTCTCAACTGAATTTACAGTCCTTATGATAAAATTTGTATGTTGAAAAACATTCATTTGAATCTAAATCCCCAGCCTTTGAAATGTGCAGTGGAAGGTCAGTGTTTTGAAATGCTTTGAGGTTAGATAGGTCCTCAATTCAAAAAGCTTAAAAAAAATGACCAATTTCAAATCAGCCAAACAGTGTCTTATGTATAAAGTGCTTTTGTTTTGTTTTTTTACCATTTTTGCCAATTATAAATATGTCATCCCAGCAAAATTAAACTTTTAAAAGGTTTGACTATATTTGCTTTATGCTAACCCCATTAGCTGTGCTCAACTTTGGCACACGGCCTTGAGTGCAAGTAACATTATCAGGATTTTGCTTTCAGTTTTCCCAAGATGTTCTGAGAAATAAAATTGATGACCAAAGTGCAAAACAACTGGTCAGTCATACCAGCTAGACAAATTGGTCAAGTTTCCGAAAGAAATATAAGAACGTCTATTTTGGATGAAGTTGTCTCTTTGAAATTGGGGAAAATGTCCAGTTAAAAGAGCTTTTTGATATGGTTGGTTATTTAAGGCTATCAAGCAAAAGAAATGTAA